TTTCATGGAATATTTATAAGTTGCTTCTCTTTATCCAGGTTAAGAATAAAGTAACCGTTGCTGGCTTGCATGACAAAGGTGTGTATGCGACTTTGCTTCTTCAAATTGGTTAAGATCTACTGGCAACATTTTTCAAACCTTATGTTCTTGTATCAAACAATGGCATTTTTTAATTAGCATTTAAAAGAAAAGAGTGTTGAAAAGGTCGAAATGAGACTTCATTAAGGTGCATATGTAGTAAAACTAAGATGAATAGATGGAAAAATTATTATATTAAAGACTGGGAGTAACACTTATTAAAGATAAAGTAAGGAAAATTGACTTAGTTGTTTTGGGCATGATAGAGGGCAGAATGCACTAATAAGGTGCATGGACAAAATGAATATAGAAAAACTTGGAAGAAAAAAAAAGGCAGATCCAATAAGTTTTAAGTACTAAGATCAATGTGATATCAAGGATTCCTTTTTGCTTCAATCCGTCTTGCGCAAAGCAAAACAACACTTTTATTAACTATGGTGCTCATTAATTGTATATTATGTGTATACAATAACCATTTCATTAATTAAATTTAAATAAACATCAGCTAATAATTTTAACAAAATGAATGATAGTTTCAATAATAATAGTTAAAATGTAAAGTGTAAATTATATAATAAATAGCTTAAAATTTGATATAAAATTAAAATGAAATATATATGTAAATTGAAGATGATATTCAAAAGTGAGCCTACAAATTAAAAATTCTAACAACTTGTATTAGGGATAGAAACGAACAAAAGATTATAAGTAGTGTAGCAATTTGATGTAAAATGTAGGACCTTCAAAATTTCATGAAATATAAGTTATAGTATTGCTCATTATTTTTTAGTGCAAATTGCGCAATACAAATAAAAATATACATAAAATATGTATTTGCACAATTTAAACAAATGAAAGATAAAATCATAGCATAAAAATTGAAATTATATATTATTTGAAAATTCTTTTGTTAATGATGTCTCGTTATGTAATAAACTTATAGACTTATTGTTAAAAATTATTTATTTGGAGGATTCATTTTCATTATATTTGATTATTTAGTGTTTATTTGGAGAGCTTCGGCAGTCGTCTCCTCATTGGGCTTTGGGAGGTCAATTTTGGCATCGAGAGTGGAAAGTAGGTCGATCACGAACTTTGGAGTTGAGCTTTGAAGTTGAGAATGAGGATTCATAAGGCCGACTACAAATAGTTGGGATAAGATTAATAATAATTATTGTAATCAAATTTTGTCTGCTGTTATAGCCAAGTGAATATTTATTGATACTCATCTAACTGTAGAATTCTAAATCCTGATTATATGCTTGCTTTGACTTTTCCATTTTTTCCATTCTCTTACTCATCCAGTTGCTGTAGCGGTAAAGGGAATTAATGCATTTCATTCTTTTATCAGGCAAAGCAGCTATTATTGAAATTGAAACCACGAGTTATATAGAAGAATCTGGTGAAGCTCTATGCATGAACAGGTCCGCTCAAAGTTTATATCCTTTGTGTTCAGAATTTTTTGTTTGTATATGGCTATATGCCCTTACAGAGCGCCTTTCCAAGCAGAAGCACCATTTACCTGCGTGGTTCTGGTGGTTTCTCAAAGTCCTCAAAGCCATATTCGTATGCAAACTATCCTGCCGGTCAAGTTTCTCCTTCTTCAGTTCCCAAAAATGAACCATTTGCGATATATGAAGACCAGACACATCAATCTCAGGCATGCTGCATCTGTCGCACTTCCTCAAATTTCTTTGCGTAATATTCTACTTTAATTATTAAAAAAAAATCCTTACATGGATTCGAGCCAATTTGCGAGCTTGCGAGTTGAGCCTCGTCAAGTTCGAACTCGTTTAACAGACGAGCTCGAGTTTAAGCTCGAGCTCAAGATCGTGGCTCGATAAGCTTGAATTGCAAGCTCGTTATTGAGTCGAGTTCGAGCAGGTTCACGAGCTGGCTCGGCTCAGTTACCCCCTAGTAATCAAGATAGCAGTTTGATGGTTTTTTACTGTATTTTTAGTGCTTATACTGCTTAATAATTGTTTTGGAAAGTTGGTTTTAACTATGTTTTTTAAATCTAATCACTTATCATCTATTGATGACAAGTTGCTTAATCATGCAGGCTTTGCTCTATAGGCTTTCCGGTGATTACAATCCTCTGCACTCTGATCCCGTGGTTGCAAGAATTGCTGGGTGAGCAGTGTAAAATACTCTCATGGAAAGCTTCTCTACACCAATTTCCATCCAAAAAAAAAAAATGAAAGATTGATGGTATGTGACCATATTGGTTCATATTTGATGAGTTCAAAGATCAAATTGAACTCTTCAAAAAGTGCTGAATTAAAATGCACACACCCAAGGCCTTGAAATCTGTTTAATCATTCACTTAACTTTTCAATCTTTTAAGATTTGTTTGGGACGGCTTTCTTACTGCTTCATAAACCAGCTTTTTAGTTTAAAATTTTTAATATTTGTACTAAAAAGTTGCTTTAAGAAGCATTAAAAGTTGCCCCAAACGAAACCTTAATGAGTCTATGCATAGTTTACAGCATAGTTACTACAATTTTTTTTTTCTCTTCCGCCTCTCATCCTCTTTTGTGTTTGTTGGGCCCTTCTAAAGTGACCTTCAGAGATTTTTTCCATATTTCTATTTGAGAAATCCTTTTTATGCATGAGTTGTGATCAAATTGACCATGAGGACACCAACAAAGGCTTCGTTTGAGACGACTTTTTTACTGTTTCTTGAAGCAGCTTTCTAGTACAAAAAATTTAATTTTTATACTAAAAAGTTGCTTCAAGAAGCAATAAAAAAGCCATCCCAAAGTTTATCTGATTCACTTGGGTTGACTTGTATACCCTTGGCATGTAGGTTTAACCGACCGATACTTCATGGTTTATGCACCCTTGGCTTTGCCATCAGAGCCATAATCAGATCCATCTGCAATGGCGACCCGACGGCGGTGAGGAGCATATTCGGTCGCTTTCTTCTCCATGTGTTCCCAGGAGAGTCTCTAATTACAGAAATGTGGATAGAAGGCCCAAAGTAAGAAGAATAACCTTTCTTGGCTATATTGATCTATTAGGCAAATTCTCTTCTCTACATGTTCTTAGTTCTTACTATAGAACTTTACTTTTGTAGGGTCATATATCAAACAAAGGTGAAGGAGAGAAATAAGGCAGTCCTTTCAGGTTATGTAATGCTAAAACACATTCCTTCCTCACTGTAGAGTATGTTGCATGTTTAGGACTCCTGTTCTTTTATTAAGAATGTTGAGATAATATAATTTGTAATAAATAATATTGGTTTATTCTCAACTAAGATATTTTTTTTTGTATAATAATAATATAATTAGTGACATAATATCCTTTTGGTACTATAGCACCCCCGCAGTGGCGGATCCAGCCCATATTTTTAGGATGGGCAAACTCAAAAGATGCCCATTCAAGAAGTATGAATTAAGTATAACTACTAGTAATATTTTCAGACCTTTTGTCAGTAACAATGAATTGGGCCGAGTCTTAAAACAGAGTTAAAAATGATTTGATTTTGTCAAAGAGAGCTCTACTTTAAGAACTCTTGGGGAAAAATAAAATAAGAGATTTATTTCGATTTCTTCAATCTTCATCTACACAAAAAAAAAAAACTCGAGATTCTTAACAAAGATGGGCTGATCTTTTGCAGTCGCTTTAGTTTCTCTCCTTTAGTTTCAGAGAGAAAGAATGAAAAGCTGCTCTGAGATAGCGTCATAGAGGCAAGAGAGAGAGAGAAAGAATTTTGGTGAGAAGACAATTATATATTTTTTGTTTTTTTTATGCTTGTAAGATCCACGGCTCCGGCTTGTAAGAACTAAAATGAGTTATTTCCTTACTGCTATCCAAATGCCAAATTTTTTTAAAAAATAAAAATGAAATGAGAAGTGTGATAGCTCAGTAAAACTTACATTGCCGAATGATGAAGGGGGTTGCCGGCTGCGAACCGAGGACTGGAAACATGAGATTCGTGAAAATGAAGGATGTCGGGCGTGAGCTGCGACGACCTCTTCACGAAGGAAAAGACGACTTCTTGCGAAGTTGCGAACGAGAGGACTGCAATTGCTAACAAGGGGCGCTCTCTGCCTAGGAATGGGGCGGGATGGGCAAACTTTGGCGGGATGGGCAAACTATGGCAAGAATGAAAAATTTAGGGCAAAAAGTTGTTTTTAGGGGGGGCAAAAAGGTGTTTTTAGGAGGGCAAAATTTCAAAAATGCCCTCAACTTATATATATATTTTTTTTCAGGGTGGGCATTTGCCCACCCTCTCTAAGCTTGGGATCCGCCCATTCGTCGAGGGGAAGGTTGCCTCTTGGTTTTTCCCCTAAATGGGGGAGACGCCGGGAGGTTGGGGGGGGGGGGGGGGGGGGCAAAAAGGTGTTTTTAGGGGGGCAAAATTTCAAAAATGCCCCCCAACTTATTATTATTTTTTTTTTTCAGAGTGGGCAAATGCCCACCCTCACTAAGCCTGGGATCCGCCCATGCACCCCCGTCATATTGCAGTGCATTAGGGATGTAAACGAGTCGAGTCGAGCTCGCGAGCTGGACTCGCAAGTCAAATATCGAGCTCGAGCTTGACTCTTGATATTATAACGAGCTCATCGAGCTGCTCGTCCAGTTTTCCCGCCCAGTTTTTTGTTTTCCCTCCCGGTTTTTGCACAGGTGGAGAGAAGAAGCTGCCTCTTTGGGAGAAAAAAAAGGTTGCAGCATAATGCTTTTTACGTGAAATCAAGAATATAACAAGTTATTATATTAATTGCGAGAAAAGAAGGTTTCCAGCATTTGTTAGCATTAATGTCAGCATTTATTAGCATTGATATTTGAGAGAAAACTTTTGAATTTTTATATAGAGCTATCGCTTTGGGAGAAGAATACTGCTATCAAACTTGATTTTTTAAAAACTTAATTTACTACTTTTTAAGTGTAATAAAAACATTAATAATTAGAAAATATTAGTTAAGACTATTGTTTTCGAGTTCGACTCATGGGCTTGATAAGCTCGGCTCGTGAGCCCATAAACGAGCCGAGTTTGAGCCGACACGGCTCACTTACAACACTAAAGCGGATAGATCATAAGATTGAATTTGTAAAGATTGGAGTATTGAAGTTGTCTCAGAGCCTTTGTAGAGACATTTGTTAATTGTTATTCATTGGAGACAAAAAAGTGGTGCTCTTCTTTGATGGAACACATAAAATTCATTGTAGATGGAAAATTTCGCCTTTTCGTGCTAAATAATGGAGTTCCTAAATCCGGTTTTTTGCCGGATTTACTAAATCCATTGGCTCGAAAGGAAGAGAGTCTGCTTGTTAAATCCGATCTATGGCTAAACAGCCAGACAAGATTTAAAAGGATTTATCATGAATGTTACCAAACATTTTTCAGGATTTAGGCCCCCTCAGATTTTCGAAATCTGGTTTTATAAGATTTACGAAATTCTACTTAAATCAAAATCTGGATTTAGAGGATTCAGGACTTGAGCGGTGTCAGAGAGAAAGAAGAAAGTT